CCCCCCTCTCCCTCCCCGCGCTGACCCCGGCCTGATCCCTCCGCTCCCGCTCCGCCCGGGCCCGGCCGCGCGCTGGCCCCACCCCCTCCGCCTGGCGCTCACCTCTGCCCCCACGCTGGCCCCGCCCTGGTCCCCCCCCCCGCCCGCTGCGCCCCGCGCTGACCGCCCCCTCCCCCCACAGGTCCATGCTGGGCAGAGTCGCGGCGCAGGCGTTCGGCTTCGACCAGACGTTCCAGGCTTACCGCAAGGACGAATTCGTCATGGTTGGTGTGAGGGTGGGGGGCGCCGGGCGGCCGGGCCCCGGCTGGAGACGGGGGCGCTCACCGCGGGGGTAGTCCCCGCCCCCCAGGCTGGCCGGTGGAGGTGACCGCGTGGGGAAGGGGAGGTGCCCGACTGGGCGAGTTCGGGGGCCGTCGTTAGACCCCCACGCACACGGGAAAGGGTGCTCTGTCCGGGGTGCGCGGGGGCTGCGGGTGCGCGGGGGGCTCCGGGGCCTGTGGGAGCTGCGGGGGTCTCCGGGGGCTGCGGGTGCGCGGGGGGCTGCGAGTGCGCACACGGCAGGGCACCGACAGCACGTCGGCTCCCGCACAGGGGTGCGCGTGGGGAGGAGGGGGGCCTGCAGTCCACCACGGTTGGGTGAGGGCCGCAGAGCGAGCAGGAGCAGCTTGTCCGGCAGGTGCGGGATCCAGCTGTCAGTGGGGGCGGTCCTCCAACGGCCCGCTGCCCTCAGGGGCAGCTGCTCCCTGCAGCTCTGCTCTTTGTGCAGCATGGGCCACGGGAGGAAGGACCACCCTGCCCAAGTGCAACCCCTTTCCAAATAAGTATAACCTCTTGTGAGGCTCCAGCAAGGACAGAATGGGGGGGCGGGTCATGGGCACTTCTCAACCCTTGATAGAGGGTAAGTTGGCTAGATGTCTTTTCCTTTCCTGGAGATAGTATTATAATAGTAATATAACACAATGCTATTACTACCCCACATGACATTTCTCGAATTATCGTGGTTAGATTTTCCATTCATACCAGCGTTGGCTTTCAAATTGATAGAGGTTTTTCTTATCAGGATTTTGAGTGCTGAGTTAAAGTGTTACAGAATCCATTCAGTAAATATTTGTTGAATTCTTAACTATTTCCCTGCTGGAGGATGTTGAAAAGATGAAGAGACCTGATCCCAGCTTGCAAGGCACAGGAGCTAGAAATGTAGAAATTTCTCTACAACACAATAAAATAATTGCTACAGTGGAGGATACAGGGTGCCTTAGGCACAGAAACATCACCTGATGGAGAGGCATTGGTGTCAGGAAAAATTTCCTGGAGGAGGGCATAAAATTAATTTGGGTTTTTCAACAGAATTCTTCAGCAGATTCAAGATTTATCCATAAAGCACAACAGATTTTCATACCAGGCCATTTTTTTCTAAATTTCAAGATCTTCATGTTTATATTCCCATATTTCAGTTCAAAGAAGTGTACTTATAAAATCATAATTTTTACTCACGTAACTCATTTGGAGGCCAGAGAGCCTAATGGCTCAGACTGCAGCCCAGCGGGGGATCCACTCTGAAGCTAATGAATCCTCAGGACTCCTTCCTGGCCAAGCTCCTTACTTGCAGAGGCCCTTCTAAGGAACTCTGAGGGATCTAGCTGTATGTTCCCATAGTCGTGTGTTTTTGAACATTTCTAAGATAGACATCTTTGTATTCTGAGAGTTCCTAAAATTGTATAAGCTTAGGGCCCTAGGAAACCTGGATCCTCCCCTGATTTGGCCTCCAGCTGTCTGTTCAAATTCCACCACCGCTGAGCTCTGTGACACTGGGCACGTCACTTTGCCACCTCGGCTTCTGTTTACTGTTCTGCAAAATGATCACAGTGCTTGGCATGTAAGAAGTATTTTTGAAAAGATAGTGCTGAGTATGTGATGGATTATTAAGATTAAAGGAAATTGGGGCACCTGGCTGGCTCAGTCGGTAGAACGTGCGACTCTTGATATCAGGGTTGTGAGTTCAAGCCCCATGCTGGGTGTAGAGATGACTTAAAAATCAAATCTTAAAAAAAAAAATAAAAGATTAAAGGAAATAGTCAGCAAAATGCTTGGCTCATAATAAGTAATGTTATTGTTATTAATGTTTGTATACTACTTTACAACGTGTTTTTCTCTTTAAGATTTTATTTATTTGAGAGGGAGGGAGAGTGCGCAAGCACGAGCAAGGGGAGTGGCAGGCAGAGGGAGAAGCAGAGTCCCCGCTGAGCAGGGAGCCCCACAGCACCAGACTCCATCCCAGGACCCTGGGATCCTGACTTGAGCTGAAGGTAGACACTTCACCGACTAAGCCCCCCAGGCACCCCCCAAAGTGTTTTTCTGTAGTGTGTGCCAGACTGAGCTTTCAGTACTTCTTAGACATTTGTCACTAACCTTTACAACAATATGGTAATTTTGGTGTTTTGACCCCCATTTTATAGCTTAGGAAATGGAGGCTCAAAATGGTTAAATAATTTGTGCAAGAACACCCAGCAAATGGTAAGACCCAGGGGCCTTTGACACAAACTTCCATGTCATTTCTACTACAAACACTCATAACTGAACAAACGGTATTGTTTAAAACTAGAATTCCAGATTTAAAATTTGCCCTTTCAATTTTAAAAACAAATTATGTTCCCAAAGTTGCATTTGTGAAAGAGTAAATAGATGGAAGGAAGGAATCATTTCCTCCGCAAGCATTTGCATAGTCTCTAGGCCTGTACGGAAGAACAAGACACAGTGAAAGAGAGGGAAAGGGTCCAAAGCTGGGGCTGCAGAGTGAGAAGTCAGGTGAAACAGGCCATGTATACAAACTACTGTGGTGGCACAAAAGAGAAAACAATCCTTGTTTTGTCTGGTTTTTGAGGTGCTCAGAGGAGGGTTTACAAAAGACAAGCTCCTTGAGATTGACCCTGAAAGATAGGAGTTTGTTAGGTGGGCAACGTGGGGGATAATATGAGATGGGTGGGAGGGTATTTTAGACCTTTTGTGCCCTGCAGAGGAGTTTGGGCTTTATCCAGCTAATGAGGAGTTGCTGAGAGGTTTTCCGGAAGCCAGTAACATTGACAGTACTGTGGTCACCTTGGCAGAAGTGTGGAGGGTAAATTATTAGGACTGAGTCTGGCGGCAGTGAGACCAGGCTGGAAACTTGTCCTGTAGACAGTAGAGGACCCTCCGCATTATGACAGCAGCTCCGGGATGGCCTGAAGACATGCTTCGGAGAAAGGCAGTACTCAAGGACTGATAGGATATTGACGGTAAGGCCAGTGGGGGACGCGTAGGGTGAGCAAGTTTCTGATTGGGTTGACCAGAGTGGTAGATGAGGCCATTAAAGCCACAGAAAATGCAAAAGAATAAACAAGAAAAATGAGTTTAGTTTCAGGCATTCTAAACTTGAAGTGCATCCAAGTGACAGTATCCTGGATTGTTGAATGTAAGATCTTGCTTTGAGTCTCAAGAGAGAGCTCTGGGCTCGGTATGCCATGTGGGCATCCTCCCCAGGGACGAAGGGTACGGAGGGGACTCTTCCACGTAAAGTGCAGGGAAGCAAGTTATAGAGCTTTCTCAAGGTCTGCAGTACACTTCTGCTCACACTTCATGGCCTCTGCCACAGGAACTAGGAGGGCAGGCTTTGAGCTGAGCACATTACTGTCCCAAATAAGACTGGATTCCTTAAGGACAAAGAGAACAGATATTGGATCAGAAACCAGCAATCTGCCAGATAGATGATAGAGTCAGATATCTACTTGTATTTCATATGCGTGGCATATAATAGACATACATTGAAAATTCTGTGTTATATAAAAGAATATGTTAATTTAGAAATACTTTTCCCACTCTCACATTTTATGAAACAAGTTTATTCTGATCTTTACATGCACTTTGACATCAGTATCTTTGTTATCAGTATGACCTGTTTGTGAATCATCCACTATATTTCCAGAGCACATCAGCTTCCCTAAAGTTGAGATAGTCTCTTCTAATGCCTCCCTGGAAATTCTGTAATAAATCCAAAGCCATTTGCACATATTAGGGCAGGGGTTTTGGGTGTTTTTGTTTTTATTCTTTTGGTGTATTATTAACCCCAACAACATGACAGCTATCATGTTGCTTTATTTGAGGGGCCTTTTGAAGACTTATTTCCATTGCTCCGGATCAATTCATTTCAGGTCACTTAGACTACTTCCATTTATAGTGGCCTATAAAATTCAATTATAAGTCGATACTAAAAATTGAGTTGATATTCTCCCCCCCCAGGAATAATTACTAAATCTGAATTAGATTTCCCTTTTACTGATTTTTGCAGAAGACATCTAAAAAGCATTTGAAACCAGTATTAATTGAGGTTAATTCCAGCTTATGTTTCTTTTCAAAATGTATATTATACAAATTAAGATAATTGCACAAACACTCTTTAGCTTGAAAGACTTTATAAAGTTATAAGGCAACTTGCTTTTTTTTCTGAGGAGTAGTTTTAGGGAAAAGTTATTTTTTTGTAATTGGGTGTATATGATACCTGTTTACCTTTATTCCTCCGCCACTAGGACAGCAACGCCATGCAAAGAGGAATTTTTGCCTTGCGTTAACATCGGCATTCACAGATACTTACTGATTTTATTACTCTTCACCCTGCACACCTGGTCCTCTTCACTGTTCCCTTTCTCATTAAATAACATTCATTCTGCCTGGAAATGACATTCATGCAAAACTTCCAGGGTCATGTGTGGTTCCTCCTCCTCTCTTTGCCCCCTCCTCCTGTAGGGTCACTGAATCCATTCCCTTCTCTATCTCCCTGCTTGCTGTCCTGTTGACTCATGTGAGCATCAGATCTTTCTGGATTTCAGCGGTCCCTTCCCTCCGCACCATTCTCTTAGTAGCCTCCAGTTCATTCTCCACACTGCTGCCGGAATGAACTGTGAAAAACAGGACTAATCACATCTTTCCTTGCTTAAATCTCTGTAGTGTCTTCCTACTGCCCTTAGATCAAAATACTCATCCGTCTAAATCAGCATTAGATCAAGGTCGATAGTTTAAAAACCAGCAAACAAAGATTCCTGAAAGTTCAGCAGTCAGGCTATCCTGACTTGGTTCCAGCATGACACTAGAAAAGACTCTTTTTTTAAGGTGGAGAAATTAGCAAGTTTAAAGTCTGTGAGAAAGGAGGGGACATCCCACTCAAGGAAAGTAAAGAGGCTCAGTGTGACCAGAGTCAGAAGCAGCCATGGTCTGATGAGGTTAGGTCAAACCTGTCACTTTTCTATGTGGCCTTTGGGTAGAATTGAGTTGCTGATGACTTTTAGATTGAGCTGTAGTTGGGGGAGTGGGAGTGGCAATTAACTAAAACAATTACTTGGGTAAACAAGATTGAAGATTGAAGAAAATCAAATTTTTCAAATATATAACCACCTGCTTTTCACTGGAAGTCATTAGTTTCTATTTATTAAGTCCCAAAGATATCCGTACTTGGACATACGGTGTTGTTCATACTTGAAGGTAACAACTTGAAGTTAACAAAACTTCATCTCTTTATAAAACATCTATTAGACATTTTACCCACTTAAAATTGTCCTCCTTCCCCAATTTGACTTAAATGAGATTGTTATAGTTACTTTAGAAGTTAATTCTTGGGGCGCCTGGGTGGCTTAGTTGTTCAGCGTCTGCCTTCAGCTCAGGTCATGATCCCAGGGTCCTGGGATCGAGCCCCCCATCAGGCTCCCTGCTCGGTGGGAAGCCTGTTTCTCCCTCTGCTGCTCCCCCTGCTTGTGTTCCCTCTCTCACTGTGTCTCCCTGTCAGATAAATAAAATCTTTAAAAAAAAAAAAAAGTTAATTCTTACTATTGTTTATAATAAAATATCTAACTGGTTCCCCTCAAATTTGTATTTTAGGCTTTCTTCAAAGACCCAAATGTCATTCCCAATTTGCAGTTACTTTCAGATTCTTCTGGACAGTGGACCACTTTAGGTAAATAAAACTTACTGTCATCTTTTCAGATGCCTGTTTTATTATTGTGACAAAATTTTGCCCAGGCATTTTCACTCCTCACCTCCACACTGTGAGGACTGACTGGCTGGTTGGATCGCATCAGGGTCTCCTGGGAGCCCCTGCTCTTGTCCTGGCTCGGTGCCCAAGAGCCCTGTCCTCTGTTTTCATTCACTGGAGAAGTGTTTCTCGTACCCCTTGCGTGGACTCCACTAGACGCAGGGAGCAGCGAGGGGACTGCGGAGGGCTGATGCGTGAGAGGAGAGTGTCGCGGAGGATTCCGCGCTGGGGGTGCGCCGCGGCCCGGCCGGGGTACGGGCAGCCGCCGCGGAGCATTCCTACAGTAATGCATAAAGCCACGGAACAGAGTCTTAAATTCCCACGGAGAGGACCTTATATACATCATAATTTCATAGTACAATGGAACATAGCTAGAAATTTTAAAGAAAATCACCCAGGGGCGCCTGGGCGGCTCAGTCGGTTGAGTGTCCAACTCTAGACTTGGGCTCAGCCCATGATCTCAGGGCCCAGGGTTCGAGCGTCATCGACATCATCAAATTACCCAAACACTTAACAATACTCAAATGTCTTAAATAACTCTCAGCTTAAGGAGTAAACCAGAGTTAATAGAAAAGGCTATTTTGAAAACAAAAACATGAACATGATATTTCAAATTTTAGATTGAGGTGTTTTAACAGTAGAACACATCATTCTTCCTTTTAGGAAGAAAATCTGGTTAGGAACGTGGATTTGTGCTCAAGAAAAATATAAGATTTTAAATGAGTTGGGGTGGTTTTGGTAAATGCATACATTGCATGTTCATGGAATTCTAGTAGTCTTACACAGAAATTACTTTGCTTAAGGTATTAGTCAAGAACAAGATTACAAACAGTTCATGATGTTAGAATTAGTAGGTCACATTTTATTGCTTTTGGCTAAAGGCCACTGCAAAATTTATAAAACAAAAAGCTGGTACACTGTGATCTTAAGAGTACTTACAAAGTTAAACTATCTGAGCAAATGTACTCACCAGTTCAAAAGCTTCAAGAGGAAATCATCAGAGGCACATATCAGTGTTTATAAAACATGTTTGCAGTAACTTCAGTCAATTCCTTTACAAAAATAAGGTTCATTAAAGAAAGTCAGCCTTCCCCTGTATTGGTAGACACTTCACAAAACAGTAAAACAGTACTGACTTTTGTTCTGATGTTTAGAAAAGGCATTGCAGACAGAGGTTCTGAAATTCCACATGTGCCTGACAGATTCAATTAGAAGTCCTCTGACACGTCGGCAGAGACCTAGCACTCTGGTTCTGAGCCCGAAGTCCCCAGTGGTTTGTGAGGGTCGCCCACCAGCTTGTTTCTGTCTCCTTTGCCATCTTTCCTTTCTCTGAATTATCAAGTGTCTTCCCGCTTTTTCCTCTTCGGGCCTTTATAAGCAAGATAAATAGCTTTTAAACATGAGAGAGCAGACATTCTTTTAGCAGGTGAACCGTTTTCAAGAGTACGATGGGCATCTCCGTCCCTGCCGGCTCCAGCACCTGGCCTGCCGCCTTTGGGCCACTGCGTCCCCTCCATCAGTGGCCACGGCCCTCTGCGCACGGACACGCCGTGCCCTTTGCTGGCTGACACATAACGGACGCATCCTCTGTGCTCAAGGGATATTATAGTCATTACCTCTAATTTCCAAAACAACTCCGAGAGGTGTTCTTATCTATCCCGATTTCACAAATGAAGAGTCAGATTGATGAGCTAAGTAATTGGCACCATTTTACTGCTGGCCGGGCTCAACAGAGCTGAGATTTCAAGACCCTGACCTCTCCATTATCCCACCTCTGCCATTTCAGCATTGAAACGAGCACTGTCAGAAAAACAAAAAATAAATAGGAAACCCCCTGTGTATTTTAATGCTAGTATCAAGGGGGAAAAATAAGTTCTTAACTTTGTATGTGATCCTAGCAATGCAGTACGTATCTTGTAAATGCTGGAGACGTAAGTTTACCATATTTCTATATAACAGCATGTGCTATGGACTGAATTATGTCCCCCCAAAATTCTTGTGTTGAAGCTTTAACCCCCAACGTTAGAGTGTTTGGAGATGAGGCCTTTGGGAGATAATTAGGTTTAGATGACATTATGAGGGGCCCTCAGGACAGGATTAGTGCCCTTAGAACAAGAGAAAGAGCAGAGCTCCCAGCCATGTGCAAGTCAGGAAGAGTGCCTTCACCAGGAACCAGATCAGCTGGCCTCGCGGTCTCGGACTTCCCAGCCTGCAGAACTGTGAGAAATCCATGTCTGTTGTTTAAACCAGCCAGTCTCTGGTGGTTTTGTGATAGCAGCCTAAGTAGACTAATCCAGATTGTGGTACCGAGAAGCAGAGTGTGTCTGTAACACACTGGGAGAGGGGGAAGTGGCTTTGAAACTATGAGATGGGTATTGGTGGGGAGAGTTTTGAGTGCATCCCAGCCCAGATATATGGATGGGAAGCTTGATTCTAGTGAGGTCTCATACAGAAATGAGGACCTTGTTACCAGAAACTGGAGGAAAGACAGTCCGTAAAATGGCAGAGACCTTGGCTGAATGATGATGTAGTGTTTTGTGGAAGGTAGGATTTGCAAGGGATAAAATTGTATGTTTAGCTGAGAGATCTCTAAATGAAGTGTTGCAGGAGCCGCCAGGTTCTTCCTGGGTGTTTATAATTAAGTAAGAAAGGAAAGAGATGGATTGAAGAAGGAATTGTTAAGGAGGAACCAGAGCTTGAAGATTTGGAATCTCCTCAGTCTTTTCATATTGGTAAAAAAAAAAAAACAAAAAAACGAGAAAGTTTCGTCTGAAGAGAACAGATGTGGCTGAGCAGCCATGTGATACAGAGAGAAAGCACGTAACTCAGGCTCGCCCAGCCACTTCAGCAGAAGCCCAGGATTGAGGTGGGATTGTACCCGCAAAGACCCTGCCAGTTTGAACTACAGGAAACAGATCGTAGATCCTACAGGACCAGACCAGAGAGCCATTTGGCTGCAGACACGGCTGTTCTTCAGGAGCAAAGACTGAAAGGCAACTCGGGTCCTCAGGGCTGCACCTCAGTTTCAGGAACACACGGAGGGGGAACATCTTACAGTCGGGAAGGCAGAGCACTGAACCAAAGGAGTATTCTTGAGGCTTAAGATCTCATGAAATTTGCCTTGCCAGGTTTCAGGCTTGCTTAGGACCATCACCCTTTTTTTTTCTGCTTCCCCCTTTTGGAATGGAAATGTCTGTTTCTTGTCTCCCCACTGTATTGTGGAAGCATGTAACTTGTCTGGTTTCCCAGGTTCATAGCCGGAGAGGAATTTTGCCCCGGGATGAACTGAACCTCCAGTCTCACCCATATCTGAGGTGATACGTAGGTGAGACTTTGGACTCTAGACTTTAGGGTTGATGCTAGAATGAGGTAAGACTTTGGGGGCTGTTAGGATAGGATAAGTGCATTTTGCATGTAAGAAGGACATGAATTGGGCGGGGGGCAGAGGCAGAATGCTTTGGACTGAATTGTATCCCTTCAAAATTCATTTGATGAAGCCCTGACCCCACCCAAAGCCCCCATCTCAAAATACCATTACATTTGGGGGTTAGCACTTCAATATATTAATTTTGGAGGAACATAATTTAGTCCATAGCAAATGCTATTTCTATGCCTCCAATTAAGTGATTTGAATTTAATTACCTTTTTCTCACCATCCAAACCCTCCTACCACTCGCCACATGGGAGCTAGGGTAGATTTACGAATGTGGCATGTTGCCCAATGTCAGCCGGCCTCCGGTGGCCACCAGCCCATCTCTGAAGACTGTGTGGATCTACACTGCTCCTGCTCAGACACAGTTCCCGTCTCTAGACACCCATCGTGCCTCACACAAGCCCAGCTCAGGAGCAGAACGAGAGCAGCAGGTCCTAGCCAGACTCCGGGTGGACAGCCAGGTGGAGGAAGTGCAAATAATCGCCAGCATTACTCCTCAAGCTCGAGCTGCTCCTCACGTCAGAGACGAAGCAGATGTGTCAGGAGAGGGAAGACCAAGGGCTCCCCCACCTGGGTGTGCTGTTCTAGGGAGAACCTGCAAAGAAGAACACCACCCCTTCCTTATAGCCAAGAGCACACGCGCGTGTGTGAGTATATGTGCGAGTGTGAGCACGCGTGTGAGTACACACGTGTGAGTGTGTGCATGCACACGCATATAAGAAATTGAGTGATTCATTGAGGCAGTAATAAAAATATTCATTTTAATCTTTGTGTCTTTCTGTAATTTAGAAGAGCTTCTACTAATGGAAACTCTGTTCCTACAGGACACATTCAGTAAATCGGTTTGGAGTGCCGGAAGGTGTGGAGGGTTAGAACTGCAGCTACAAGAGGAGAATAGACCAAACACCGTGGTTACAGATTTCTCTAATTCCAGGCTTGTGATAACTTGATTAGGGCCTGTTTGCAAGCTTACCTTGAGCTGGAAAAGCTATTTTTCATAATAGACGCTGTAAATGAGATCACAAGGGAGAAATTTTTAAATGGAGAGAAAAATTTTCAAGACATCCTCAGGACTTTAGAAATACCCATTACTTACATTAATTAAAGTTTTTGTAATATGAATTATAAGGCATGGAATGGAACGTAATAGAAATCCAAAATCGTTTCACAAACTGGTTCCTTTGCTTTTATAGGCACTTCTGACATATAGATTAAAACTGATGTAAGAACACCTACACAAAACATGTATCTCATTTTCAGGCATTTCCTAATTTGCATATCCTTCATCTAGGCCTGAAAGTGAAATTTTGTTACAGACTTTTAATGATTAATAAAAACAAACTGCAAAATAACAATAAAATCCCTACACTGATGTGTCTTTTAAATATATCAAGATATATGTCATACTTGGCTACTAGAATCTCTGTATGGTGATATTTATTTTGGAAATAATTGAGAATAGTAAGTTAATTTTTATATCTCTGTAAAATAATTTTTTTCAGGAACTGAAGTGAAAAAAATTGAAGCTATAAATGTTCCTTGTACACAGCTTTCAATGTCATTTTTTAACCGGTTGTATGATGAAGATATTGTACGAGACAATGGACATATTGTTAAATGCTTAGATTCTTTTTGTGATCCCTTTCCTATTTCTGATGAGTTACGAAAAGTAAGTACAGATTTTTTAAAGTTCACTAATAGAATTTTATTTCGGGAAATACTTAATGTCAAAAACTTTTGCCTGCCTAAAATACATAAAATACCTCTTATCAATGAATAATGATCAGCAATAGTCATTACATTGGTAGATTTTTTTCTTGGATGGGACTTTTACTCTCAACTTAGTTATTCGTATATTTCAGTTTTCAGCCGGATGCTACATGCAGTGTGTGGGACGGCCCCCACAACGAAGTTATCTGACCCAGAATGGCAGTGTTGCTGGACTAGAGAAATCCCCACCTGCTCAACTGATTGCTGTTTTTCTTCAATATAGGGCTCCTAACATATCCAATGAATATATAAAAACATCCCTGTAGTAAAAATCTTTTTATCTCACTGCTGAGATCAAAAAAGCCATTTGATTAACTCATTTTTGTCCTAGTGAGAGGTGTATTGAACTTGAACCAGAAGATATAGATTATTTACCTAATTCCTGAGTTATTATTTATAAGATAATAAATTTAGACAAATCACTCAATATTTAGAGGCCCAAGATCTTATCTGCACAACATAGAGATTAAAATGCCTATGGGGGGTGGGGTAGGCAGGGCGCCTGGGTGGCTCAGTTGGTTAAGCATCTGACTTTTGGTTTTGGCTCAGGTCGTGATCTCAGGGTTGTGAGATCAAGCCCCGCATTGGGCTCCACACTCAGTGCAGAGTCTGCTTGGGAGTCTCTCTCCCTCACCCCATAAATAAATCTTTTAAAAAATGCCCATTTGGGGTACCTGACTGGCTCAGTGAGAAGAGCCTGCAACTCTTGATCTCAGGGTCATGAGTTTGAGCCCCACGTTGGGTATAGAGTTTACTTAAATAAATAAAAAACAAAAAAATAATGCCCATTCTACCTTCTTTCTGAAATTGTTGAGATAATGAGTTGAGAAAGCATTTAAATGCACTTTTGAAAAATACGAAATGTTGAAATGTATTATTATCATTGTTTTATTCATGAAGAAAGACTACTTACAAAGTGGTTAAAAATTAGGGCCTTTTTTAATAAAGATTTTATCGGTTTATTTGAGAGAGAGAGAACACAAGCAGGGAAGGAGGATCAGAGGGAGAGGGAGAAGCAGGCTCCCCGCCGAGCGGGGATCACGACCTGCAGGTTAACTGACTGAGCCACCCAGGCACAGGGCTTTGGTATCAAATAGGCATAGGTTCAGATCTAGACTCTGCCACTTAATAACTGTGATACTTGACCTCTCTCTTCATCTGTAAAGTAGGGATGATGTAAGAATTATGTAGCTCAATGCCTGGCGCTTAGTAAGGTTCCAGGAATATGAATGACTACTAATTACTAACATTATTCTACCCTAAGAGAGAAGGGAAGTCGAAGTCTAATTTCTTGCAAATCCAGATGGGCATGAACTAGGGAAGTCACCGCTCTAGCGTTCTGCACACAGAGTTCTGTCTGTCGGGGACCAGGGGGCATCCGGCCAGTGTGTGCATTCATCTACGCTAGGAGAACTCTTAGTTGAAGAAGAAAATAAAATTAAGTCATTGAGAACAACCAAAGACACAACTGAAGAGACTGTATTTAGTCGCTCCCTAGTGAAGTATAATCTATAACAGACGATAATGCAAGTGCTACAGAGTGAGAATCTGATCCTAATTTCTACTCTTCCTTACCAAGGGTGGGAAATTCACCTTTAAGGAGTGTCTCTGGTCTAGTCTGGCTCCCCTTCCTTTGGACCCTGCTGATGTCACTCATGTCTCTGTCACGGCTCTCTGCCCGCACACGCGCCCCTTGGTCTCAAGGCCCTTGGCCCTAGCCTCAGAGAGCTCGCCATCGCTGGGACGGAGAGCCTGGGCAGCCAGCGTCCCAGGAGGCCAACGTGCTTACCCTGCTCTGCAGATCTGTCTTCGTTATTTCTGTGAGCAGCACTTGTGTTCAGGACGTGCTGGGCTCTGTTTTCCTGTGTGCTGCCTCTCGGCCTTGCTCTTGGGTTCTTTGCCACTCTGCAGTAGCAGGGAAGGGTTTAACCTGGTTGCTCTCTGGCTGAAGAAAATGAATGAAAGCCCTCCAGCGTTAGCCCAAGTGGTGCTGCACCGACGGCGTCTGGTGCGGGCTGACAGTGACCTCCTTCCCACTGCCGCGCACAGTCTGACTCATGCACCATCCAGACCCGCTCTCTGAGACCCCGGCCACCGCCCAGCTGTGTGTGCGTGGGGAGCCGAGAGCCGCGCAGACTGTTCTCACCTTTATTCCCAAAATACTTGCATTTCTGTAAGCTTTACATTGCACGGCCTAATCAGTTCAGTAGCGAGAGTGCTCACGTAAGGAATGTGTTAATTCGTCATTCCTGAGAGCTTTAGTCACCCTTGTATTGAGCCAGATCTTTAGGTAGCTGCAAACTCACATTATTCCTCCCCCCCGGGGGCGGGGGGGGGGGGCACGGGGCAGGTGGTGCATCCAGGGAACACGCATGGGGACAACACCACAGAGTTGATTGTTTTTTTAAATGCCTCTTGTCTGGTGACCTTGTGAATATTCATTTGAGATCAGGGTGTAGACAATTCGATAAAAGACACGTATGTTATAGCATACATTCATCCCCTTGCTCATAGCTGCCACGATCAACAAACTAGTTAGTTGTGTGTAACGCCCCATGGTATGAGAAAATCGCCCACATCAGACCCAGTCCCACTGTTTTCTGAAGGAGCTGGTTGGGTCTCCAGAGAGCAAGAGCCGGTGTAGACTGGGGCCGGTGTAGGAAGAAGGGGCCCGGAGTCCACGACAGAGTGAGCGGGGCAGGGAGGCCATGCACACGCTCAGGGCGGATTAGGACGCCACCACTGGGGTGGCCTCTGGATTGAAGCGAAGGCGGTAGGCCTTACGGATGGAGAGCTTTCTCCATTTATTTACTGCTGCTTGCTTGCGCACAAGATTTCTGGTGACTGCACGCTAAGACCGCGGGAGCACGAGGATTACAGAGAAAGTAGGACAGAGGTGCGGAGAGGAGCAAGAGAATGCTCAGGTGTAGGTTTGTTCCTTCCGCTGAACCTCAGCAGCTCATGAGAAACTGGGGGGAAAATGAGCACGTCTCCTTCCAGTTGTCCAGGACGGGTCCTTAAGATAGGTCCTAGATCATATGTAAATAAATAAATTGACACTTTTGAAAACAAAAATTAGAACCTCAAATCATGTTACATTAAGATGAATTTTATCATCGTCCGTAGATGTTGCTCGTGGAAGACTCCGAAAAGTATGAAGTATTCAGCCAACCTGATAGAGAAGAGTTTCTGTTCTGTCTTTTCAAACATCTTTGCCTCGGTGGAGCCCTTTGTCAGTATGAAGATGTGCTTCACCCATACCTGGAAACCACGAAGCTCCTCTATAAAGATCTAGTGAGGTAATGTGGCCAGACCACAGCAGGGACATCTCTGGTTCCTAGAGGGTGTACGCGGGATCACGTGCGCCTGCTGTGGTCCTGTCGGCCCCCCGAGTGTGTGAGCACGGCGCCCCAGCCCCTTCTCACAGCCGCCCTACTCTCCCAGGCCGGGGCATTCGGAGCGCGGCCCTCAGGACCCCCTGTCCCTGCTTCCCCGGAGACCGGCCACGGCCCCGCCCCACAGTGCCTTCCCCCAGGCCTGTGCGCAAGGTCCCCTGGAGGGTGTGAATTTGCTGGACTAACAGTAAAGTATCACCTTTGTTTAAGGAGATGGAAGAATTTTCATCTGGGCGTAATCTTTACCTTTCCTAATTAATCCCAAATCCCAGTTTGTTTTAGGTATTCCGCTAGGGTTTGTGTTTTTTTTTGTTTTTTTTTTGAAGATTAGATTGGGATAAAAACTTTTTAAATCATTTGTTTATACTTTCACTGGGTTGGGTTTTCAGTGATGCAGATACTGGTTCATCTTTACAGGCTAAAGCGATAGGAACAGTGAAAGCAAAGGGTCCCAGGGTTTAGTTACAGAATTGTACTTTAATAGGAAGACAGAATTAGCTTCTCTTTGGACTCTTGATTGTTGCTTATACTCACTTCAGTTCTCATTTGCACTCCGTGTGCCCTACAGCTCCACAACAAACTACATGATTTAGTTATCTTATTCGTTTTAATACGGTTTTAAAAACAAAAAAAATTTAATGCCTCTGATTTTTGTGAAAAATTGTGTAAATACACAGAGATGGTGGAAAGAGCTATGTTAGAAACAGAATCCAGAAAAACATACACATACTTTCAAAATATTCTGTCTTTATCATTTGCAGCTCATGAAAACTTTGAAGCTTGCTTCAAAGTGTCCCCTGGGTGTACCTCGTCCCTCACACGCAGGCGAGCGCACACACACACGCACGCACACAGGTTCGCACACACACATGCGTGCACACACAGGCTCGCACACACACCGCTGCCTCCGCAGTGTGCTCTGCTTCCCTGGCCACATGAACCTAAGGAATTCCTCACCACCCTGTACCGTGGAGGAGGGGATTCTGCTGGAGGTGTTTGAAACAGAAGTAACTTCAGAACCTAAACCTTGAGGAACTGACACTTTCCCCAGCGTCCCCTTCCCTGGATTCTCACCCGTGACTCTCTCCTACACTCCTTGGGTGCTAAGAAAAAATACAGCTCCAGGGGTGATGGCCACTCGTAAAACGAGGAGTCAAAGCACAGGGCATCTTAGGGAAAGAGTAGGAATTGTGTCCACAGAATCACTTTATCAGGCAACCAGCAGGTGTTAATTTTGTGCACAGAGCCAGGCTCCAGAGAGATGACAAGAGGGGCATCAGACAGTCCTTGACATTAAGGAGATTATAAGAAACTAGCATCCTAAAGGAATTGTTTAAAATCTTTTATAAGTAAAAATTTTATGAAATCAAATGTTCAATTTTGTATAGGCAAATGTTTGCAGCTCTTGATACTGTAATAAATGCCCCAGAAGTTCAAAAGATGAGATTGTCAGGGTGGCTGTGAGCAGTTAGGGAAGTCTTGATGGGATGGGGTCCCCTAGGCCCATGGAGAGAAGAGCAGTCTGTCCCCCGCAAGGGGAGACGCATCACAAGTCACAGTTACAGAGTCACTCTTACTTGAGAACCACTAAATATTTCTCTTGATGATCCGAGTTTAAGCAGGCTTATGAATTTCGTTGCTGAATGAGGAGATGTGGAATTGTCTTCCCAATGCAACTTTGGTAGAAAATTAAGATTAGAATGAATATTTGCTTAAGATGGCGTTAAGTGGGGGCGCCTGGGTGGCTCAGTCGTTAAGCGTCTGCCTCCGGCTCAGGTCCTGATGGGCTGGAGCCCCGCACCGGGCTCCCTGCTCCAAGGGAGGCCTGCCCCTCCCTCTCCCTCTCCCACTCCCCCTGGTTCCCTCTCTCGCTCTCTCTGTCAAATAAATAAAATCTTTAAAAAAAAAAAAAAAGATGGCATTAAGTGCCAACACAAGGCAATTGAGTGGATTAAGTGATCACAGTCCCTTCAGAGCTATGTTGGTTTGCTTATCAATTGCACTGCCTGTGGCCTTTCTAACCTGAGTTGTGTTGATTTGGGTCAGATGTGGTCTGATTTGGTTAAGGTGAGGATATAGGGTGGATCAATACAGCTCTTATCGAGGGACGTGGGAACTCCAAGTGTTGTCAGTAATTTTTCACAATCCTGAGCCACATGTCCAAACAAGTTATTTGGGCAAGCTGAATTAACCAAGAAGGATATCGTTTTCTCCTGTTTCTTCCCTTGAATTTTGGGTGTTTTCACAGTTTTTAGAAAAACATCTGTTATCTTTTTAACTGTACGCACAGTAGCTGCTTTACAACACCTCACCGGCCCCTGCAGAGAAGCGTCCTCACCAGTCCCCTCCAGAAAAGCCTGTCCCTTATGTCTGTGGCGCTGGATGCGCATCACAGAGCTGGGTGTTAGTGGTCTCTGGCTCACACAGAAGGGTAAAAACAGTCTTAAGATATTTTTTCCCTCATCCATTATTACGAGTCCTATAAAATAACACTCTTTAAATGTTCTGGAAAATGCCTTCTTTTCAAGGATTATGGTTCTTTTAAATAATATGGTGGTACTTTAGAACCGTTTCATTAGAGAGTAGATGACCAGTTGTTTGGTTACATTTCAGAAATGTTGATGCAGAAATAATTGTGTAGTTACTAATGGTGCTTTTGTCTTTTCTGCTTCCAATATTAAACACATGCTCTTGTCAGAGTTCTTGGAGAGGTTTTCCAAACTGCATATCTGCCCCAGATGTGAAATTTTATGATTTTAGCTGAGAGGCTTAGATTATGGCTTCAGGCACTAATTAAGCAGTGGATTCTTATTTCTTAAAATGAGCAGAGTTACCTGGAATGGTCCATACAACTTGCTTAGAGTCAATGTGGGATCGAGCCTCAGAAATCAGCACAGGTGATTTTAAGAAACTGTTCATTATTTTACTTCTAAACCATTAATATAATCACACTTTTAAAAAGAACTCTACGGAAATTATGCTCTCGCACTTGAAAGCCTCAGTTACCTGGAGTGAGCGGGTGAGCGCCGGGGTCTGACGCGGGTCTGTTAGTGTAGCCTAGAGCTCGAGCCAGTTCCCTCGCTCCGTCGTTCCTCTTCTAGCTGGCTAGGACATATCAGACAGGCAACCCTCTACTTGATCTATAAAAAATAAGAGATTATCTTAGAGCTACTTTAAGACTAATATAGGATCAGAGGTAATAAAATGGAGTAATATGGTTTATTTCTAGTAGGAACCAACTTCTAATAACTTTCAAATGGTAGTTCCTTTTTTGTAAGTAACATGCTTACAGTGCATGTTGGTATGTTTGAGTGATTGTTAAATACTGAATTTTCTTCTGAGTTTATTTGATAAGCACAGACTTTTATAAGGGCTTGTTTGGGGGTTTTGGTAATTTTTTTAACTGGGCTAATTTACATACAGTAAAGTGAACAAATCCTAGTGTATCTAAAGCATAGTGAATTTTTATATGTTTGTACCCCTATAACCACCTCCAGATCAAGACTTCAAATCAGTTATAACCGTAGGCATGTTTGTGTTTTGATTAGGGTGTCATGTAGGTGTGTACGGTGTAAGTGTTTTATATGTAGTGGTTACAGTCATCCCTTGCATAAGCACAGAATTTTAAGTGTAGTCTTCAGTACATGTTAAGCATTTGAGAAATAAAATAAAATGGCCCTGGGGCGCCTGGGCGGCTCAGTTGGTTGAGTGTTGAACTCTCAGTCTCAGCTCCAGTCCCACTCTCAGGATCATCAGTTTAAGCCCCAGGTCAGGCTCTGCGCTGGGCGTGGAGCCTAATTAAAGAAAGAAAGTGACCTCAATCCATGTCATAGAGATACACAGGAATTAATTTAGTTACATGATTTCTGGGTTTAAATTTGAATGGAATGTTTTTTAAAGATAAAAACTGCCTAAGAACTTTGAACCCTGAAATGACTTCGGTCTGGCCACCAGTAGGGGCACAAGCTCACATACACTCAACACGCACACTCGCGCTCCACACGCTCCCCCTTCCTTCTCCTCCCGTCTCCCTCCCCGTTACTCTTCACATGTAGGGAAGGAGAAGCAGTACTTGGGCCTATAAAGTGAAAAAGACGGATATCTTCCGTTAAATGTCACCTACACGTATCCCACGTGAGGAGTGCCTTGGAGCTGTGTGTTGGCGAGCGCAGGAAAGGAACCGCACGCCGTGTCACCTGACTCTGCTCCCAGAAATACCACCTGTAGTCAGAATGTCTTAAATATCTTGTTTAACTTCTCTGGTTCTGTTGTCTGTAAACTCGGTAAAATAGTGCCAGCCAAGCTCCCTGAGCCGTGTGATCTTCAGACGAGGTCCGCGATACAAGGGCGTCTGTCAGACCGTGAAGCATCACAAAGATCATGAGTCTAAGTCTCTCTCTGCAGCTCGATGCCCAAGTCCCAGCGCCCCCCGCACTGCACGTCCCAGGCAGTCTTCCATGGGGAGAGTGACTGAGGGAAAACGATTCTCGTGTGATAGAATTTAATAAACAGTTTCCTTAGGCCTTCTCCCACTTGGCTCTCAGGTAACGCCTGTGTCCCATGGGAGAAAACTGACACGTCAGGAAGGTTGATGTTGCCCAAAGTGCAGCGATCACTCGGGCCGAACTGGCCTGTGTGCTGGGTGGGTTTAAGCCTGTAGTTCACATGCTTGTACCTGCTGTCTACACTCCAATCTGTCTCCACTCCAGCCCGACTCTTACCAGCTACTCTTTTTCCAATAATTGTCTCTGGCCCAGGAGATTTTCATCATCTGAGCACAAAGCCTCCGACCGTCCAGTTCCATGTTCTGCCTTTCGGCCGGGTGACCTTGCCCCGTCCCTGGATGAAGCTGCAGACACCGTCTTTTTCAAACCAGTCTAGGTGGACACGATCTATTTCTGTTATACATGAACAAGAACACCTGAATAGTAAAAGGGATCAGTGTTTTAAATGTATTATGCCAATGCTTGCTGTATTTAAAATGTGTCCCTTTCCCCCTATTTTAGTGTTCGAAAGAATCCTCAGACCAAGAAAATACAAATTACTTCTTCTGTCTTTAAAGTCACAGCATATGTAAGTGCGGAGGGGGATTCGCAACCAATCAGTTTAATCACTTGTTATTCAGAGGGCTGTTACAACTCAGTGAGCAACCAGTTCAAGGTTACGGCTAGGAGAAAAGACGCTGGTATTTAGTTCTTTGCTAAAAGTAAAAGTTGATAAGGTATGGCTTTATTCGGAGAGTCACCCGAACTTCTCCCCCTCCTTTCTGTTGTCCGTATCTAATAATAGTTCTCACGTATTTAAGACCTGAATCTGTGACTCAGATGGAGTCGGACACAGTTCTGTAGTCTGCCGAGCCATAATGTATACGGCAAACAAGTAAGAACACCATAAATGGCTTTATATCACAGAATATGTTGCTTGAATTCTAGGGTCAAACAAAGATTATTTGCACATTTGAAGCAGTTTCTAAGTATCTTTATTCAATCACTTAACAAATGTTATTGAACATCTATTGCATATCAGCTACCGTGTGGGGCTAGGGCACTTTTTGTTGACAAGCAAGAGAAACCTACCTCATAATAGGTAAGGGCCACATTCTAAAAGAAAGCAAAGATAGAAGAAAATTGCAAAATAACAATTTTTGCAATAGTAGCACTTTAAAAACACTTTTTCAAAAGGCAAGAGTCCCTTTTGGACTATAAATTCCTTAAGGTCAGGAATTATGTGGGTTTGTACACTTGACTGTGCTGTCAATAGATATTTTAAAATACCAGTTAATCACCAATTTACTGTCAAAGACCTGATGTATGTTTCATGACATTTTAACAGAAAATATATAATAGTTAAATATGTTGTTTACGACTTAAATGTCATCATAGACTGAATAATCTATAATGTAGCTTTTTCTCTTTCAGGATGGCGCTGGTGTGTGCTACCCTTCGACGAAGAGTCACGAACAGACATTTTCTTATTTCATTGTGGATCCAATCAAGCGTCATGTTCATGTTTTATACCACTCTTATGGTGTGGGGGAAATGTCTTAACAGGTTCTTTCAGATTATCTATTTTGATATTGTTTTATTTACCAATTTTTAATTTTAATGCCAATTTATAGGTAAACATTTACTTTGCAAGTCAATTCAAGTAAAATATAGAGAACCTACTTGGAGCAGAAGGAGACAAGTACCAAGATGCCTTTCTTTAAATGTATCTGGAATAGTAACGTGAGGACCAAATTCCATCCCGAACACAATCTACACCAGTACAGTCTTGGAATTTTTGCACAAAGTTACAAAGAACTAAAAATCCAGTTCATATTTGTTGCATTAAGATTTAAGTAAGCCCTCGGTTTTCCATGTGTTTTATTTTAGAAGCTAATTAATTCTGGGTTGAAATTGTGGCAGAAAACTGAACATCACTCTATTGATCATTAATATGAACTGTTCGCTTTTCAAATTTGAGTTTCATTTCATTACATTTCTTCATTGCATAAAGATTTACGTTTCTAGGGCTGTAAAGTGCATAACAATTCCTTTGCTTCATTTGTTCCACTTAAAATCCTCAATAAAACAGTAATGTTCTGAAAGTAATCGTAAACTCTTTTATCACATAGTAAATTAAAACTGCGGCTGTCCGCTAGCTGAGAGGAGCCACAGATGCACAGAGATGTCCTGATGGTATTAGGTTGGCAGACAGGTAGAGAGCAGGTGCCTTACATTACATGCTCCTGCGTCCTCATTACATTCATAGAATGAATATGTGACTTAAAATCTTGAGTGGAAAAAATGACTGGAGGTGTCTGGCTGCCTCAGTCCGTGGAGCATGAGACTCTTGATCTCAGGGCTCTGGGCTTGAGCCCCACGTTGTGGGTAGAGAATTCTTAAAAATAAAATCTTGGAAGAAAGAGGGAGGGAGGGAGGGAGGGAGGAAGAAAAATGATTGACATGCATCCCAAAGGGGATAAAGAGCAAAAGCAAAAAATGTTGAGACTTTGAGGAGAGGCAAGTTTGGAATATGTTTCTGTGTTGTCAGAATAGGGATGACAGTCTGGGACTTGTCCCTGTGGATTTATCTGGAAAGCAGTTGGCAGTTGGGGTATAGAGCTCAGGACAGTTTGTCTCACTTCTAATACAGTGCTCGGCACGTTAAATATCTGTTGAATGAATATTTTCCAGATACGTTCCTAATATCTGTAGGTATTTTTTAAACCATATAAGAAACATAAAATTAGGAACTAAAACGTCACACGAGCCCTGCTGCGTACCACACAGACCCTGGGGACTTTCTCCTAATTGATCAGCTGGTCAACCAACAGTTCTTTTTGAGTATCAGCTCCGTGCAAGGCCTGTGCTGTTTGCTTTGGGAAACCAGTCTCTCTCAGCGGAGAAGGCAATGTGTAAGAGTACGTCTGCGGGGCGCAGCTGCTGCCTGAGTCCGGCCTTGGTCTGGCCTCCACCGAGGAGCGAGGGGCGGGTGGGGTGTCAGCACCTGGAGGGGGTAGGGGGGCGGGAAGTGGGAGGGGGCAGGCAGGGTGCTGGGACCCGGGCCTGGGCTCAAAGTCCAGAGCCCAAGCTGGGGAACGGATCCTGCGGGTGGCCAGTGTCCTTCCTCTGCTTTAGGGTGGGAGGCACAAAACCCCTTTGAGGAAGATCGCTCCATTGCTGTGGGATAGTCATTCTAATGACCCGTCTGCGATTGGGCACATTATCGGTATTGAGGGTAGAACAGCACAGCAATAAAGGATTGGGGCTGGGCAGCCCGATCGCCTGCGTTCTTAGTTCTGCCCACACTTGCTGTGTGACTGAGCTAGTTATAACTCCTCGTGTCTGACTTGCCTTGTCTGTAAAATGGGGAAAGTAGGGCTTTCCTTCACAGGTTACTGTGAAAATTACATACATTAATCGTCTGGCCTCAGAATGGCACCAAGCACATGGCTTCAGAGTGTGTGGATTTGGGCTCTTTCCATTCTCTACTGAGGAAATATGAAAAAAATCGGGAGCTAAACTGTCTGCATAATGTAAAAAAAACTGTCTTAAGTTCAGAATCGCTTTTTCATAGGTTCTACTGTTACTGATTCGACCAGAGTCGGCACAAGAGGTGGGGATCGGTTCCCGTGCCCTCGGCCCTGGAGGATGTAGAGGACGTGCGCGTGTACTCCGAGAACTTTGGCAGCGTTTTGCACACGTAGAATGATTTGCTCCCCTCACCTATTTGTAATTGTTTAATGTCTGTCGTGAAAACAGGCCCCGTGTGTCTGTGGCTCACCCGGGGGCCCCCCGTGTCTGGCGCGGTGCCTGGCGCTTGACTGACGCTCCACATCCGTCCTCTGGGTGACCGGGAGAAGGTGGCCGTGGAGGTGTGCCTGCAGGCGTGGGGAGGGCCGGAGGGGAGGTGGGTGAGGAAGGCCCCAGAGCATCCTCACACTCAGCCCCACGTTCGTTCCTCACGCTGTTCTGATCCGGGCGTAGCCGCGCTGGCTGGGACGAGACCCACAGCCTGGGCGAGCGGGACAGCAGTGCCCCCCGCCCCCGGCCATCCAGGGGGGCAGGGTTTCTCTGCAGGGGGAAACGGGCCGTGGGGACAGGTGACAGCACAGCAGTTTCCTGGGACTTGAGAACATTCTCCAGAAATTCCAAATGTTACTTAAGGAAAGAAGGCTCACAGGATTATAATTTGGACAATTCAAAGGGGCCTTAGGCTAAAGACCAGAGACCTTGGGACCCTGGGGTCCCGTAAGCAAAGACAATACAGAGGTAGAAATCACAGGTGGTTTGGGGGGCTTGGGTACACCCGATGAGCTGGAGCTGAGGAGTCCTGTGCAGGACTCGCGGGTACTAACACGGGAGGCAGACTGACCTGGTCACTGGGGGCTGTGGGGACAAAACTAAGAAATGGTGATGCATAGCAGTCATTAAAGACTTCTGAGCAGGGCGGTAGCATCATGAAAGCCGTATTCTGGAACAATTAGTCTGGCAGTAAGGAATTGGGGTGAAAAAAGTCCAAAGATCAAATAGAAGATTATCACAGTCAAAGCACAGAGTTGACCCATCTGAGTTACTAGCAAGGGGAACCTTTCTGAAGCACGTGACAATGGAATGCTCCCCAGAAAAAAATCAGACACGGCCCCAGAAACGTTAGCAACGGGGTGAATTGTGATGTGTTGAGTCTTTGAGTCACCAAGGACCGGGAAGTGGGAGCTGTGGTAGGAAGCTGTGGTCGGGGAGGGGAAATCCCTCGTCCCAGCCCCATGCTCAACCCACTTTGGTCACTGCAGCTTCGAAGTCCCTACTCTAACAGGGGCCTGCAGGCGTCTCAAGTCAGCCCGTGAACCAGCCGTGAACCAGCCGGGACCCTTCCTTCTCCAGCAAGCGTCTGCGGATCGCCTGCCGCGTGCTGGGCACACTCCTAGGCGCTTGCAGTTGCAGCAGGGAACGCTTCAGACAAAGTTTCTACTTTGGAGTTTCGGGTCCAGTGCCCACAACAGCGTCAGGTGCAGTAGATACACAAAGAAACCATGACTCTCAAGTTGTCATGTTTTCCAGTCTGGTGCATGTGAAATGGTATTTATGATTTTAGTTGCTCACTCTTCCTGTGAGGGAGAGCGTTATTCTGTGTATTCCCCTGGCCACGTGTGTGGATGATGCTGGGCAACCCCAGTGCTCTGCTCTCTGCTTCTTTCGTTTGAGAGAGAACGGACGCAAACAAAAGAACAGAGCAAAGAATAAAAAGGAAGTATGTGGTCTTACAGTAAAAGCCACATTTAGCAGCGTTCGCCCTGCGGCCCAGCCACTGCCAACCCAACACCCTCCGCGTCCTGACCTGGCCTGCATGTAAAGGTCACGGCAACAGACGAGGCAAACTGGGTTTGTTTGTTGTGGGTTTTTGTTTTTTCTTTTAAGAGAAAAAATAAGTTCCTGGGCTTTAGCAAACACTGGGAATCTGCAAATTATTTTTCTTGCCTTTTTCATGACTAGAAAGGTGTGTGAGAGAAATAGTAAAGTGAAAACCAGCTATGACAATATAAATTCTATTCAACCAAATTCTTGATCAACTGTCACCCTGTATTCCCGTAACATATCATAGAATCAAACAGTTATTCTGCTTAAAAGTACTTCATACATAAAAGGCTGGCGAGGGAACCTAGAGAGGTCAGGGCCAAGGTCGATCCATAATGAAAGGGAACTGAGGGCCTCTGGCCTGCTCAGTCCATGGCGCCTGCGACTCTTGATCTCAGCGTTGAGAGTTCGAGCCCCAGGTTGGGTGCAGAGATGACTTAAAATCTTTAAAAAAAATAATAAAGGACAGTCCTACAACAACACAAGGGAACTAGAGGGTATTGTGTTGATAAAAGTCAGAGAAAAGTAAGTAGCCTACGATATCACATGTGGAATCTAACAAGCAAAACAAAAACGCCAGGAACAGGTTCGTAAATGCAGAGAACGAACTGGTGGTTGCCAGAGGGGAGGGGGGGGGTCAGGAGATGGTTGGAACAGGTGACAGGACTGGGAGATCCGAACTTCCAGTCGTGGGGGTGAGCATACAGCGCAGGGAGTTTGGTCGATAGAAGCCTAGTTACACAGCGTGGTGACAGATGGGGACTGCACCCGTCATGGTGAGCACTGGGTAATGCGTGGGATTGGCGTGAGCCTGAAACTAACCTAATGTTGCAAGTCAATATACTTCAAAAATGAACGCATTTTTTAAAGTGCTTGCACACGAAAAGAAAGAACAAACTATTAAACACAAAACAGAATAGTAAAAGTAATATTTTTCTTCAGGACTTTATTGCGACAAAAAAGAGAAATGCTATTTGATCTGTTAATTGTCAGTCTCTTTATAACGTGTTGGTTACTAACAGAGTATTGGGACGGGAATGACTACAAAGGCTTAGAGAAGAGGAATGGTAGTATCTACAGCCCAGAAATATAAATGATATATCGAAATAGTTCTCTTCATAGCCACATACCTAAATGCCTCATGATGCTTTAGATTTACAAGTAAATCTTAAATATTTCTAAGTAAAAAAAAAAAAAAAAAAACCCAAGACAGAATGACAGTCATAGATTGGCTCAGCGGAGGAACAATTTCGAGGCAGAGAGAAGGCCATGACGTTGAGGAGGGATTACGGACTTCCTTGAACAGAGCGGCAGAGATGCTTAGAGAAGTACACCATCCAACTAACGTCTACTGTGTGCCAGGCATAGTCCTAACCCCGGGGGCGCCGCAAACAAAACACAAAATCACTGCTTCTAAAAAAACACAGTCTGCTGACAAAAATATGATATAATACCTAAAGTAATTACAAATTATGATTTTTCTAGGAAATAAATCGCGAGTGATTAGTCTGTGGCAGCACCTGGCTGGCTCAGTGGGTGGGGCACGGGACTCGCCTTGGGATTGCGTGTTTGAGCCCCATGTTGGGCCTAGAGTTCACTTAAAAAATGAGAAAATTTTTTTAAAAAAGAGTGGTTAGTCTGAGAAGACTCCTCTGAGGAGGAAACATCTGAACTGAGACATCAGCATATGAACGTTGTCTGGAAAACAGCACGTGCGCAGGGCCTGAGACGGGGGTGAGAGTAACGCTCCCAGAGCGGACAGCCGTCCTTGTGAATGGCACAGAGCAGGCCAGAGGAGCGGCCTGAGTCGAACTGGGGAAATAGATCACACACATCTTCGAGGCCAACGAAGTGAGTTTGGAATTTAATGGTAGGGCGATGGGAGCCACTCTAGGGTCTTAAGAAAGGGAGTGGTGTGCATTTTTAAAAGATAGAGCGCTGAGGCTATCATTCGGTAGGCGGACGATGAGAAGAGCAATATCAGCGTCTGGTGGGACATGAAGGCGGTTTGGGCACGGATGGCTTCGGGGAAGATGGCGCACGATGGGCCCAACTGTGGCCTCCCCCAAACCTGTATGTTGGGGTACCTCAAAATGTGACGGTGTTAGGAGATGAGGCCTTCAAAGGGGTCATGAGGTCACATGAAGTCTTATTGGTGGGCCTTCCTCCAATGTGCCTGGGGCCCTGATAAGAGCTTAGGACACAGAGACCCCGAGGGACGGCCGCACGAGGACAGCGGAAGACGCCACGTCCAAGCTGCGGGAGACCTCAGGAGAAGGCAACCTTGCTGACACCTTGCAGTTGGATTTCTGGCCTCCAGGGCTGTGGGAAAATCAATTTCCGTTATCACACTCCATGATACTTTGTTATGGGAAGCCTCGCTGAGTAATATACGGAGGGAAGGGAATGTATTCCAGGTGTACTTTTGGACCCAGAAACAATGTTACTTGATGGACCGAATTGGAGGTGGGGAGTGGAATAGAGAAGCCAAGGATGACTCTCAGGTTCCTGGTTTTAGAACTTTTAGAACAAATCTCCTTAAAATGTTTGAGAAAAAACAATCTTATGAACTAAAAGGGTAAGAGTTGACTGAAGGTCTTGAAATATGGAAGGAAAGATGGGAATTAAATGAAATGGGATGGGGGCGCCTGGGTGGCTCCGTTGGTTAAGCGACTGCCTTCGGCTCAGGTCATGATCCTGGAGTCCCGGGATCGAGTCCCACATCGGGCTCCCTGCTGAGCAGGGAGCCTGCTTCTCTCTCTGACCCTCCCCCCTCCCATGCTCTCTCTCTCTCTCTCTCTCTCATTCTCTCTCTCTCACATAAAGTCTTAAAAAATAAAATAAAATAAATGAAATGGGATGGGGCGCCTGGCTGGCTCAATCCATAGAGCTGGCAACTCTTGATCTGGGGTTGGTGAGTTCAAGCCCCACATTGGGCATAGGGATTCCTTAAAAAAAAAAAAAGAAGAAAGAAAGAAAGAAAGAAGAAAGAAAGAAAGAAAGAAAGAAGAAAGAAAGAAAGAAACAGGCTAATGTGTGTGCAAGTAAAAGCGTCATGCAAATATAAGTCATCGACGTTATCATAGTTGGTGGTGGTGTGTGCTACGCTACAGTTTCAAGTGGGAGAGCACGAGGGAAAATGGCACTTGCGGGTAAAGGGTGTAGAATTCAAAAGATGGAGGGGAGCAAGAAAGGCCGGATGGGGCCTGGGAGACTAGCAGGAATCAAGGTGTGAGCAGAGTAGGGTCTGATGTCTCCGGGAAGGTCAAAGGGACGGCAGACATTTCCGCAGACACGTGCATTTACATACATGTGTACGTTCGACAGCTGGGAGCCCGAGAGGAGAGGTAACTAAAACACTGCCCTTTTCTATACGGCAGCAATCTCACCTGAAGTAAGTTTCTTTAAGACCTTCTTGGGGTCAAGATCCATGCCTCGCACAATGCTTTGTACAAAAACGTAATAAATGTTGCAGAGAAGATAAGTAATCTATCATATTTTACTTTTTTTGAAAGAGAGTAGTATGGCGGGAACGGACCAGGAACCGGAAAGTCTGGCTCTACCACTGAAGAGCTGTATGGCTCTGGGCCATTTAACCCGGTGCAGCCCAACAGAACTTCCTGTGATAAGGGGAATGTTCTAGACGTGTGCCGTTTCGCCCCGAAGCTACTAGCCCCCTGTGCAGTGACTGAGCCCTGGAAACATGGCTACTGTGCTTGCGGAACTGGGTTTTCCATTTACGATGTGGCTGCAGCCGCCATATGGAACATCAAGACATCAAGTTCCGGTGTACAAAAGGGGACCCGCGCTAAGCAACCTCCTTGGCTCTTACTTCAAAATGCTGTTATTCCAGCTCGACACGACAAATTCATGTGCACATTTTAAGAGTTCATATTTTGACTTCCGAAAACAAGATATCACTTGTAAAGAGTGTTAAATTTTGCACTTCACCTAGAAAATATGTAAATATTTAAATATGTAAATGATATAAAATAAGCCCGTGAATACTGATCTTCACAAATGTTCCTCGCGTACAGATGACGTTTTGGACGACGTACCGTGTTATCGTACTGTGACATTACCTGGAGAACAACACCGGGCATGTGGAGGGGACACCGAAGCGTGTTGGACCGGTCCGGAGCTGATGAAAGAGACAAGACGCCCAGTGAAGGAGGAGGAACTGGGATTGTGTAGAAAAAAAGACAGGGCAGACTTATAAATTGTATTCAAGTGTACAGTTACTAGAGATGGTGTCCAGATGTTCTCCAGTATCTCCAATAAAGATACTGAGGCACTGTCAGAGAGTTTGGCATATTAAATTCTCAAAAGGAATTTAGTTTTTAATGGTTTTTTAAAAACATTTCTTGTGCCACATATCGTGTTGAAGAGACGCGTATGTTGAAACAATAGCCACAGAATGTTAAAACAATGAACAAATTGGAATCACAACTTAACGGATCTTTTAATATAGGATTGATTGTCAGCTTTCAGGTAAGATTCAAGACATTACTTTTTGAGATCCTTTACAACATGATTTTTTTCAATTATCAGATGCATATTCTATGCTAGATTTTGCTATTTATAGAATAAATAAGATTAAGGGGATAGTTATCTATAAGACAGTGAAGATATTTACCTTGCATGTTTACAAAGCATGATACTATTTAGAGAACAAAAACAGAATGTGGAGTATAATATAAAGTAGTGGTTCTCAAACATTAGTATGAATCAGAACCACCTACAGGGGCTTGTTAAAACCACTTGCTGTGTCCCCCTCCAGCGTCTCAGTAGGTCTGGGTTATGGCCTGAGAACTTACATGTCTTAACAAATTTTCAGTGATGCTGATGGGGACCACACCTTGGGAACCACTAGTAGAGAACATAATATACTTCGTATTTTTAGAAGTCACCTTTCCATTTTTAGTATAGTTTAGTAAACTATAGTAAATGAGCTCCAGTAGCCTCACCTTTCAGGCCGGGGTGTGGAAAGCGCACACTCTGTACCACGCACAGCCCTGGAAAGGCTCTCTGGGGCCTCCAGGACACGCCCCACGTGGGTCTGCCCTGAGCCTGGAGGGCTTCGGACTCGAAAATTCTTCACATCTAACTCTCAGGACTAACTTTAATTTCTCCCATATGGATTACTTCAGCTAGATTTTAGAATAAAAGAAACACGATTTAAATGATTTTTTTTTTTAAGTAGGCCCCATGCGCCCCGTGTGGGGCTCGAACTCACGACTCTGAGAGTCTCCTGCTACCGACCCTCAGGTGGCTGGGCGCCCCTAATCTTGGGATTCTTAATCCTCATGATGCCGTAATAAAAACACATTCATTCTCGTTATTTTGTGTGCTCTTCATTATCATCCTGCAAAATAGGCATTATTATACTGATTATTGCCCGGGCCTGGCACTTCATCGGCGCTGCAAGTACACGCACAAACCTGTCCTCAGAGTTGCGCCTGCTGAGCCGCACGCACCGTGAGCATCAGCAGCAGGATCCAGAAACAGAAGAGAAGGCGCCCAAGCTGTGAATGCACAGGGTCATTTTTCCTAAACAACTCCTTTTTTGCAATGAGAGAATTTGTGTCTTCATACTTTCAATCTGACTTCCCAGCGATCAACCCAACTTTGTCCTTAACATTTTTTTAAAGACTTTATTTATTTATTTGAGAGAGAGAGCATGAGTGGAGGCAGAGGGGGAGGGACACGCAGACTCCTGGTGAGTGCAGACCCCGCGATGTGGGGATTCCCTCCCAGGACCCCCGAGATCATGTATGAGCTAGGCCTGAGTCAGATGCCTCACCGACTGAGGCACCCAGGTGCTCCTGTCCTTAACATCGAGCATATCGCCCTAAACCACTACTTATTGGTCAATAGAAATAAATGAAATTTTCCTGAAATGACAAGGTTCCTACACCACTTTATCATCCTGCGAGCATAAATTTGTCAATAACCCTTTTGAACTGCCTGAAATTAAGTATAATCTTCCTGGCGGAGAGTTTGAGCTCTGGAATCAGAAATGTAGATTCAGAGGTAGCCCTACCTACCAGCACTGCAACTCTGGGCAAGTTATTTGACTTCTCTCTGCCTGTTTCTTCATCTAGGAGAGGTTTTTAATTTTAATTTTCAACTTTAAAGGGGTGTTATTGGGGCGCCGGTGTGGCTCAGTCAGTGAAGCGTCTGCCTTCAGCTCAGGTCATGATCCCAGGGTCCTGGGATAGAGCCCCACGTCGGGCTCCCTGATCAGGGGGAGTCTGTGTCTCCCTCTCCTTCTGCTCCCCCTGCTTGTGCTCTCTCTTGCTCTCTCTCAAATTAAAAAAAAAAATACTGTGAAGCTTAAAGTGGCAATGGAAGTTACGTTGCCACATGATCACGGAATTAAAAAAAAAATCTTAAAAAAAAAAAGAGAGAAGCTGACTGCAGATACAAGGAAACACAATTAGAGACCATAAATATGGGGTGGCACCAATCCATTCCCCGGCGAGATTCCCTCCAGTTGTCCCTGAGAACCTGGGCGTAGCCAGGCTCTCTCAAGGCTGCGCTGCGCGAGGGCTGGACACTTCCTCTTTTTAAGCCCCTAGTATATTCAAACATGCTGGAATGCCAAGAGACGGTGACAAACACAGGGTATGTTTCAAATGTTCACATTTAGCAAATTAATACTTTTTACATGCAATGATTTCGATCCAATATAACCGTATCCACAGGTATACCAGATGATTACGGATTTCATCTAAAATAGGACAAAGTTTAGAGTTGTACAAAGAATGCCTTCTCGTAATCGTGTAGATACACTTCTGGGATGATGGTATAACCTCACTTGCACACAAGGTCAAAGCTTTGATTGAAGCTTTTAATGAGTGTGGGGCTTGGCCTCCCGTGAGCCTTGGTATTAGAATGGAAAAGACAGATGACCGGACTCTGGTTTAACAGATCCAGTTCGCAGAAATATACAGGGCATGGAATGGAGGGCAGAGATGATTATGACAGGTTGAAGCAATGACTTATTTATTTTATTTTATTTTATTTTATTTTATTTATTTATTTGAGAGAGAGCGCACACGCGCACATGAGCGGAGAGGGGGGCAGAAGGAGAGGGAGAGCGAGAATCTCAAGCAGACTCCCCGCCGAGCTCAGAGCCCAGTAGGAGCTCCATCCCAGGACCCTGAGATCATGACCTGAGCTGAAATCAAGAGTCAGCTGCTTAACTGACTGAGCCACCCAGGCGCCCTGAGTTATGATTTCTCAGCTGAATTGGGAAAGAAGTGGAAACAAAAGGGAGTGAAATGTTGGTAGAAAAGAGATTAAGGCCCAGTGAGGTGTGAGTGAGGAAACCAGGGAACCCAATGGCTAGTAAGGGAGTGGTACCACAAAGACTGATCTCACAGCGGAGGTATTTCGGGGGGGGGGCAGAGTGTGGACGTAGGAGCTGGAGCCTCCCCTGTACTGGAGAGTGCATGTCCTTCTAAGACTAGCGCTTTGAGACGGTGATCCGCATGGACGCTGAAAATCAGGGCCTTTTTATAAAGAGGACTCCCTGTCTCCAGGTGCCTTAAGCTGGTAATTGCTCCAAAAGTAGGGCTGGGGAGAAGGAGAGGGGACAAGGGGTTGAACACATGTCATCTTTATCCCTTACTAACCCGTGACCGAAATTTTATAGATAAGAAGTAGTAAATTACAAAATCTTAGGCGGTGCTATAGAGGTCCTTATAGGACATAAAATCACTCCAAACAGCCTTTCAATCCACTTATCAAAGTAATTTTGTTCTCCATGTAAGGGCAGGTGTAACAATATTGAACAAAGCAGTGTTTGCCATACCCTAAGCCCTTGAATTGCTGCATTCCCAGCAGTAAGTGCTCTAGCCAAGGAACAGCTTCCTTCAAGTCCTAGGTTTTCTAGCACTTTGCTTCTTAAAAAGTTCTTTTTTCCAGCTGAAGTTTTTAATGCACAATTTCTGCATTAGGGACTGCCAATAGGGTCCCCCAGGGGGGTTTCTGCAGAGAGACCATGTCACAACGTGCAGTCTGTGAACATGGGACAATGAGGGTCATTCACGTCCATGCAGAATTCACCACGTACCCAAAACTGGGCTAAGGGCATACTTTTTGTCCACGGACTCATTTCAGGCCCCAACACACGGAACAGGTGTCATTACCCCGACCCCGATATTAAAGAAATTAAAGAACAGGAAATCAGTCATATGTCCGCATGTCACAACTACTACAAGTTTGTGCTTAAACGGCCTTGACATTTGGGGCTGGGGCTGCGGAGAAGTCCGAGAGGCAGTCAGGGGCTCATGGACTGCAGAGCCTTCGGGAGGAAAGCAGGGTCCAGAGCAGCTGGCTAGAATCTTGCCTTACAACCTCCAGATTTCTGGAGCCTCTCCTTCAGGCCCTGCCCTACACACAGAAGTATCCAGATCCCTGCTCAGAATTCTCCTGGGCATGTCCTGGCTGGAAGAAGAGATTATCTTTCTGTTCAGGAGACCTTTTCTTGCTCAATCCTCTTTATACATCTGCTTCACTAGCATTACAGACACAATCAATAAAAAGCTAGATCTCTTGAGCATGGGCTAACATGGGAGCTTTAAAGTCAGAGTGCTGTCGCACAACCCTTGAATATACTAAACTCGCTCAATTGCTTAAGTGAACTGAGTTGTACGGTATGTGAATGACATCTGAATAAAGCTGCTTTAAAAAAAAATATCAGAAGGTATGAATTTGTATGAATTTAAAAGCAAATTTCCCAGGGCGCCTGGGTGGCTCAGTCAGTTAAGCGTCTGCCTTCGGCTCAGGTCACGATCCCAGACTCCTGGGATCGAGCCCCGCACCGGGCTCCCTGCTCCGCGGGAAGCCTGCTTCTCCCTCTCCCACTCCCCCTGCTTGTGTTCCCTCTCTCACAAATAAAATCTTGAAAAATAAAAGATTATAAAAGCACATTTCCACGGCTGCGGCGTGATTCCAGGGGCCTCCTTGCAGGTGGGACAGGGCCCCACGGCGCAGCGGGCGCTCCGAGCCCCCCGTGCCTGGCACCGGCTCAGGGGAGCAGAGGGTGCGGATGACGGGCAGGTACGCGGACGAATGCGGGCGACCCAACTTCAGCAGTGATTCTTTCCTGCTGTTGAGGTGGTCGCGAATTTGTTGCAAAAGCTCGACTGCAAAAAAAAAAAAGTTTCCACTTTTGAACAACGCCGGTTTTTTGCCTGCAGCCCCCCGCGCGGCGGGTCTGGGCTCGGGGAGCCGGGGCCGCGCCGCGCCCGCACCTGGGCGCCGCCCGGCCGCCCCGCCT